AACGTGGAAAGAGCTTAGCCTTCCCTGACGGGGACAAGGAATTATAATAGCAGACACTGACAGTTTGCCTCTAGTAAGCATTTTGACTATTCAGCAGAAAAAATCAAAGCAGCAAAAAGAAAATAAAAACGAAAAATAAGAAGTTAACAAATACTGCTGTCTTCCATATCCACGGTTTCGATTTTCGATATTTCAATTACCCGCTATTAAACACAGAAATAAGCAATTAATACATTTTATTCATAATAATGATCCCAAAATGCAACAGTAGTGAAGCTGGCAATTCCTATATACTCAAATGAAGGAGTCATTTTTTTGCAGCAAATGAAGAGTTTTCAAGTTCTCGACTTAATGAGAAAATAAAGTAATTTGTCTGGTGAGGTTGTCAAGAACAAATTTTGTTTGCGTCTCATAACTTTAAATATATTACATTGCAATAATTGTTCTATTTTATTATTAGTCATAATTATTACCATCCTGGATAAGACAATAATCTACATTCGCGTCCTGGGTATGACGATAAACTACGTCCGCGTCCTGGGTAAGACGATAAACTACGTCCAACAGCAAGTAGGTTTGATTAGGAGGTTTTGAGGATCGTGGAACCACCTCTAAATTGCTGATGTTCCCACATTCATGCTGTCACGGGGTGGTAGCACCTGTTAGGGTCCCAGCTATGGGCAAATAGTTAACCCTCAAACTAGAGTTAAAACACTATGAAAGTGTAAAAATAGGTTTTAATACCAGAAATACTTTATAAAAAAATTATTACCAGCAACAAATTTTTGAAGGAAGAAATAATTTCAGCAATACATTATTACCAGCAATAAATTTTTTGAAAATAAATTTTACCATCTATGTATTTTTGGAAAAAAATATTACCAGCTATACATTTTTGAAAAAAATATTACCAGCAATACATTTTTGAAGAAAAAATATTACAAGAAATAGATTTTTGAAGAAAAATATATTGCCAAAAATAGATTTTTTAAGGAAGGATTATTACCAAAAATAGATTTTTGAAGGAAAAAAATATTACTAGAAATAAATTTTTGAAGAAAAATATATTACCAAAAATAGATTCTTGAAGAAAAATATATTACCAAAAATAGATTTTTGAAGAAAAATATATTATCAAAATTAGATTTTTTTAAGGAAAAAATATTACCAGAAATAGATTTTTGAAGGAAAAAATATTACAATCAATACATTTAAAAAAAAGTATTATCATCAATAAAAATTTTGTCGGCATAAAATAACCCATTGAGGTTGATATAACATAAATCAAAACAAACCAAACCAAACCATGAATATTATTAGCCGTTACCAAGTATTCCAAGAAGAAGGCTCAAATGAAACCTTTCCAAAATAGAAACTATGATGTAGAATTAGAAAGAAATCACTGATGCCATATGCTTTGAATCCATCATAAAAATTCAGGATGGGGATTTTATAAATACTAAACACTTCAAACCCCTTGGTATATGGATAAGTTATAATAAATTTAGTATTTATAGAATAGACTACACCAGGTGTAGTTTTACCCAACACCGGAAGTTGTTACAAGACCAAAAGAATAACCTAAAAACAGGTGTCATAAAGAATAACCTAAAAACAGGTTTCATATTCTCAAATAGCCTTGTCAGATTGAAACTTTTGTATGACAGTCACGCGGGATTCTCAGCCCATTCAGAAATCTCTAAACTGCCAACTGTATGCTGTCACGTTTTCAGACCAATGATTAAAAATATCTTGGAGCGAATAGAACCTGTAGGTCTTAGAGAGGATCATCCTTATTCGAACCTCGTGGACTCGCACCAAACAATCACAAAGATCTGTAGAAAATAACAGAAACGACACCATTTGAGGACTTTCAACAGCAGCAACAATTAAGATAGAAAGCAGATGTGGCACGAAGAGAAATTAATGACACGATCAAAATTTTGATGTTACACACTACTCCAAACCAGAAACTAGGAAGAAACCCCCTTTCAATACTGGAAAAGGCTATATCAGCTAGAGAATGTGAGAAAACTATTTTCCGGAAAAAATGTTTTATGGAAAAGATTTTATAAATTTAAACTGACAGTCGTACTTGCTGTTCGGTCAGTGAATGCCGAATGTTTCCTTATAAGGAAACAACTATTACCTTTAGGTGAAATGCATTTATTCAACGCTTACATTATCAGTGATGTTTTGAGCGAAGGACCATTAGGGTCTTCCGGTTTTTCTGCATAACACTTCTCGCGCTGACTCAGTCGATAATGATCGACTACAATTCTTCTCATATCGTTTGCTATTGTTACCCACTGCTACTCCCCAGGCCTTTATAGTCAACTTCCGGTTCATCAACTTCCGGTTCACCAGTTTCTTCGCTTTATCATAAAAGTTAATATTGTTGTTAATCTTTGTGCCTAATTTATTAATTTTATCACATGTCTAATAAGACAGGGGAAGTCAACTTCCATTTTTTTTTACGAACGATATCCCTTTATTAGAACCTTTAAATTTAAAGGGATTTTTATACCTCATTCCAATCCCTTTGACTTATATGTTGAAATTGAAGACGATAACAATTTGAACTTATTTTAATCCCCATTCCCATATGAGAACCCGGAAGAAATTTCTAACCGTCTCTAGCCATTCAAAATCTCCACACGTCACAGAGAAGTAGGTATATACACGCACACCCACTCGAATAGAATATGGCACAAGGCTGAGTTTAAAGTGGGAATCCAACGTATACATGGGATTGGGACAAACATTGCTCTAACTCCCTCGGTATTTTTCCATTAGGGACCCTATAGACGTCATGTATTAAACCTAGTCTTCCCTCTTAGGAGAGGTACTGCCTGGGAAGACGCACATGCATGTATTTATATGATATTTTGTGTTCTTTTTTTTTACTCACGGTGTACAAGGCCCAGAGGGCACTCGAGGTAGAGGGTTATGTTAAGAGACAGTTTGTACGGATACGAGAGGAAGATGACGGTTAATTCTACAATTATGATTGTAATGATCGGGGAAACATCCTCTTGGGAGTCAGTTCCACAGACCAGTGGTTCGCGGAAAAAAGCTGTTCGAGTGGAACTTACTTCACACCGATGAAATACAGAGGGAATGTGGGTAGTCTGGCAAAATCTAAATGGCATGGCGGGTCCTTGACGTGTGGGTTAGAACTGGCGGTACCAAGGAATTTAGTTCGTCCGAGTACTTCCCGTTGAAAGTAAACATAAAGCAGCGAGATCGCTAATGATGATGGACATTTCTTCTTCAATGTGCCGTGTCCCTTTAGGACGTGGGAGTACATGACTCTCTAATATTTCCTCTCCTTTGTAGCTCTTAGTAAGGTTTGTCTTTTTGCTGTCTCTCCTAATCCCTGTTCTGCCAACTATTTACATAAGCTAGTTATGTAGGTTACTCGCCGCTTTTCTCTGTCTGTCTCGTTTTCTGTATAGCACAGAAGTGCTTTCAATGTGTACTGTGAGTATTTACTGCAAAAATAAGAAGTGATTTGATATGATGTACGGCGAAGGCATAAAATGCACGAAAGAATTGCTTGAAAAATAGGAAAACTATTAAAATGAAAGAAAGAGCTGGGAAAAGAAAACGAGAAATAAAAAAAACGAAACGAAATGGAAGCTAGAAAAGAAGAAAAATATGTTGTTTAAAAGAAGAAAAAAGGAATAAATTAATAATAATTTGAAAGTTATATATATATATATATATATATATATATATATATATATATATATATATGTATTATATTAGCTTAAAAGCCATCCTATCGGGTGGCACTGAAGCTAGCTACTTGGGAAGGCTCTTGATTGGGCCTTCATCACACTAAGTAAGGAGGAGTAGATGCGATAGGCCACAATAAACTACAGAAGAACTCAAAACTGATTGTTGCATTTAAGTATTCCTTTAATATTTAAGCTTACTTAATGGAATGATAAGACATTGCTGAGGAGAAAAGAGAATAAAAGAACAGGATTCAGGAAGACAGAATATAACGATTGACATTGCATTTACATTTTTAAAGGCCATAAATAGCATGGGATCAAGGAATCAGAAGAGAATTCAACAAGAAATAATGATATCAAATTATGCGCAAGTAAGAAATGATATTAATTGGTATTGAATGATATTAAATTATATGTGCTAGCAAGAAATGATATTAATTGGTATTGAATGATATTAAATTATATGTGCTAGCAAGAAATGATATTAATTGGTATTAAATGATATTAATTTATATGTGCTAGTAACAAAAAGACTGTCGTTTTCGTTCCCTGATGGCATTTACGCTTAAGATCAGAAAGTGACAGCAAAGATATGTCGACCATATGAGGCAATAGGGTTTGGAGAATTTCACACCCATAAAACCTGCCAAAGGTAAAAGTATCAAAAGGAATCAACGAGAAACATTCCTAACGAGATTGTATAAATATATATCAAAATAGGGAACGGGAGAGATATTAAACTGATAAAAATTGCTTAGACCTACAAAGGATAGGAAGTTTTGGAGCGATATGTTCATCCTCTTCCTGAAGGGACCCGGCACGTAAATGAAGAATATTTCAAGCGACTGCTTCGTCATGAAGTAATGACGAACGAGCAATTTTTACTCTATAGTGAAATTGATTTTTACTAGTTGCCAGAGTTCTTGTTCTTCTACCAGACTATGTTAAACTTCGTAAATACTTACAATGAAAACTAGATTGATTGATTTGTTTTTTACGGATTATCAACCTTTTGCGGGTTATTTAAAGCCAGGATGTATTTTTAGATTGTAACAATTTTAGTGGAGATAATAATGATTTACTGATACGAGTCCTACTAATTAATCCATAGCTGGGGGGAAGGGTAATAGGTGGATTCATACCTTTCCCGAGGGTATTTGCGCGTAAGTGAATATAAAGAACCCGGCATGAATTGGAAAGTGACTCTACACTTTTCAACTCCGAGCCGTTATCTATTACACCACCTGCACATCCAAGCTTACAGCACCTGATATTCCCAAGCGGTAATCCATCTAGGTAATGACCAGTTTCGACGCTGCTTAACTTCGGTGATCGTACGAGAATCGTTGTTTCGACGTGATATGGTTGTAAGTCGTGAAAAATATGAAAATGTGAACAAGCTTTTAAAGTCACAAGTATATTTTAAAAATAGCGTCAAAATGAAATTAAAGAAATACTTTTCAAGATTGAAAATATGCGAAAAATTTCGTTGTGACGAATAAAATGAAAATAAATCTATATAAGTAAAAGTGTAAGGTCAGTGTGTCCGTATATCACACTTTTTCAGTTTTAATCTTTTGAGGTCTAAGCCCAACATATAATACCATTGTGAAATCAGGTCAACTCCTTAAGAAAATTAAAAACATTCCGGGTCGGATTCAATGCTGACATTTTGGATTTCAAAATTTTTATAACTTGGAAATAAATTTGGAAATAATCGAAATTAATTGCAAAAGTCACCCATGAAATAAAGATAATTGTTTGTACAGAAAGTAAGGACCTACGTACATCAAGCTGTCTTTAAATTAAGTGACAGCAGAAGAATTATCGTTGAACTTTTAAAAGGTAAGCTTAAATATAAATCCAATACTTAAATGCAGTGATCAATTTTGAGTTCTTCTGTAGCTTATTGTTGCCTAACGCATACAGCAGCAGTATGCCTCGCAAAAAGAAATCTCCGCCAACAGAAGTCTAGATTGCAATCAAAAGAGTCAAGGCTGCAATGAGGAAAAGAAAGTCCCATGCAAATGAAAACCCAGATCAAATGGCAGCCAGGAGAGCTTCCAATACTGAGAATATGCAAAGACATTGGGATTCTCAAACTCCTAAAGATGCCGAAGGGCTACTCAAGAGCCGTCCGCAGGAGTTAGCTTAATTGCCGTCCGATAAGGCCTGCGTTTATACTAGATATTAATAAAATGGAGAGACAAGGAATTACGTAACATCCGGAAAGGAAATGGCGAAACGAAATGCAAATGAAACAAAGAAAAAGAGGGAAATTTTTTAAATACTAAAAACACAAAGAGAAAAGACTATAAAACATAGAAATCAATCAGAAAAGCAGAAAGGAAATAAACAACGAGAAAGAGGCAATCAAGCAAAAGACGATAATTAAAAAGAAGATAAAAGCAAAGAAACCTGTAGAAAGAAAAGAAAAAAAAGGAGAAAGAAAAAGAAGTAAACACAGAACGTAAACAAAAGAAAACAAAAGCAGCGTTCGATAGAAAAGAGCGGGAAAAAGAAAGCCAAGAAAAACACTTAAGAAAAAGAAACCTTTGAAAAAAAGAAAGTAAAAAAAAAATTGTATGCAAATAAAAAAGAAAAAAAGCAAATAATCCATGAGAAAGAAAAAAATAAAAAAAACGGCAACATAGACTTTAAAAAAAAAGACGAAAAAAGGGAAAATCGGAAAAATACAACAACAACAAAAAAAAATTATCTGAAGATAAAAGCAGGAAAAATTTGTCTTACTATCATTTCCCTGTCACTTTCCCATTTTCAAAGCACAACACCCTCACTCCATTACCATTCTGTTCACCAAAACGTGACTATCGATAACTGTCCCACCGCAATGTTATGTTTGTAACACCTCTCGTTTGAAATCGAATTATCAATCTTCGTGCATCGATTAGCCAGCACTGTCATCAACGATGCTAGGATTATATATCACCTACCGAAGTGAAGAGCGAGTTAGAAATCGGTGTCGTGACAGAAACTTGACTGTAGGAGTGTTTCTTGTGATGAACGGTAGAGGGCGTCGGTGCTGAAGGAGAGGATTTTTTTTTTTTTAGAACAAGGGATGGTAAAAACACCAGAAATGAAAAGTGTTTGTTAAATCAGATCTGTTTTTGGAATGTTTTCTACACGGAACGAAAAAGACTTGACAGCAATAACAATAACAAGAATAATGATGATGTTGTTAATTTTATTATTATTATTATTATTATTATTATTATTGTTGTTGTTGTTGTTGCTATTATTATTATTATTGTTGTTATTATTATTATTGTTGCTGTTGTTGTTGTTATTGTTGTTATTGTTGTTTTTGTTGTTGAAAAGATAAACGTAATTATCGTATTGTTGTTGTTATTATTATTATTATTATTACTGTTGCTGTTGTTATTATTATTGTTTTTGCTGTTGAAAAGATAAACGTAATTATCGTAATCCCGTTTTGTTTTGTTTTTAAATACAAATTCATTTCTGGACGTAGATGATCATGGCACTCCACATTTTCCTCTCTATCTGAACATTGCCATGATTTCTTAGGAATTATAATGGAATGATTATCCGTTGCTTTTTTCACGGTTCGAAAAATTCAGGGCTGTTGTTCTCTTCGACTAGTTTCCAGCCGATCTGATTCTGATTCTGTTATTTAACCGATAACTGATGGAGGAGAAGCAAATGATTAATACCTTTCTAAAAGTATTAGCGCGAAAGTGAACGCAAAAAAAGACTCGGCTCGCCGATTCTACTTTCCATGCCGATAATATTTATTATTTATCTCTATCTCTAAAAAGCAGGATGTGTGTTTGTGTATATATATATATATATATATATATATATATATATATATATATATATATATAAAAAGGCAGGATGTGTGTGTGTGTGTGTGTGTATATATATATATATATATAAAAGGCAGGATGTATGTGTGTGTGTGTGTGTGTGTGTAACGAATGCACGGCCGCAATTTTAGACGGATTTGCACCAAAATTTTCATGCACATTCTACAAGTTAGTGGAAAGGCCAAGACGGACTTTGCATTTCTCAACTCCCATCGATAGTGGAAATAATCGATTTTTTCATGCTTCTACGGCAGTTTTCATGTAGTTTGCGGCCATTTTTTACTGGCCAGAGTGAGAGACTATAGCTGGCTGCCACGAATAGGCAGGAAAATTCTATTGGTCAGCGTGAGAGCCAACAGCTGACTGACACGAATGTTAACTAGCATGCTAGCATGCAAAAAAAAATCGATAGCTGCATTCGTCACAAGTGAGAAAAATTTAAATCTGCATGGCACTTTATTCCAATTGGCTCATTCGCTTGCTTAAAGTCAACGTTAATTCTGATTCCGCAGAAGTGGGTTGGGTGTGAAAAAGTATTTGTTGTTAACATTCTTTTTTCATTCGGTTTTTCCAGTTACGAGTCCTTTTTTAAAGCTGATCGTTTTGTGTTCATTTTGTTTAGTTCTTTTTTTCGTAACAGATTTAATGTTTAGTATAGAGCTTCGAAAAAATTCACAGTGTGAGATAGGCAAGAAGTAAGGCATGTAGCAACATCAGCACGGCAAAGGGCACTCCTTTAAAGGCAAGGAAGGGCAAAAATATTTTAAGTCAAGTGATAGCAATTACTGTATGAGTCGTACGATTTTTGAATCAAGCACGGGCAACGCCGGGCCATGCTGCTAGTAAGTAATATTTGTCATTGTCTTTTTTTATTTGATTGTTGTTTTTTTTACGGCTGATCGAAACTTTGCAGGCTATTTAAAGCCAGAAAATATCTGTAAGATCATTTTTGAGATAATAATGATTTAGTGATACAAGTCTTATTAATTAACTCATAGCTGGGGGAGAAGAAGTGGATTTATACATTTCCCAATGGTATTCGCCCGTTTGAATATAACAAACCCAACAGGAATTCGATTAATAATTCCGAGCCATTATTTATTACACCAGCCGCACATCTAAGCTTACCGTACCTGGAATTCCCAAGCGGTCACTCATCTAGGTACTGACTAGGCTCGACGTTGCTTAACGTCGGTAATCGTATTGGAAGTGTTTCAAAGTAAGCCTATTAATCCTTGCGTATCAATTATTAGTAATAGCTTCTCTAAACAAAAGCATTAAAACCATATAAAGATAACTACAGGAAAAATAGCAAAATGATGTGGCTGAATTTCAGGATGAGGAGATATCATCAGTAACACATAGACTATTGTTCTCGTGTTTGTTATTGTTATTTTGTTGTTGTTGTAACAATAGCCGACCTTCATCAGGTGCTTGTTGATTCGGGTAACCTTCAAGGAATTGTGAACCGAACACTTTATTTAATCTATGGAGACAAATTGCTTTCATTCACCGGACCATATCTCGAGATATCTCGTCTAGCACTGATCCGTTTTCATCGAGTCCAAGAACAATTCTGAGAGGAGATTGAACTCAAAATTACTATTTCACGAACTATTTTCCCATGGTGAACCTTAGTCCCTTAAACCTAACCAACGTGCTGATAAATGTTTTTTGTATTTCTTACGACCGACTGCACTCACCGTGGCTTCTCATTATATTGCTGCTACTGCCGTGGAAGCCTTGCTTCAAGACAAAATGTACACACACACACACACAAAAAACCAAAAAAAACGTAACACGTATTTTGTAATAACCCCAAACAAATATAATTAAAGACATGACTGGGTATGAACAGTATTTCTTTTGGAATTGTACAAACAAATCGTATTTGATCATAGAAATTGATGCCCTGGCCATGAGCTAAATATTATCCTGGAATGCTTTTAAACATTAGGAAAATGTTCAAGATTAGGCGATTAAAACCAAAACGAAGTAAAAATTATCTTAAAAGTTTTCAGAAAAAAAATTATCTTAAAATTATCAAAATATACTTTCTAACGTATGGATATGAAACTAAACTAGAGTAGGTACCTCCACATATTTCCGATTCCTTAGTTTAAAATGATTTTTAATAAATGAAAAAGCTTTTTTGAAGCTTTCATTTTAGCTTTAATAGAAAGTTAAAGGATGAAGTTTACTATTTCCAGTAAGCAAAATACTCTGGTATATTTCAAACTGAAAGTATTTTGGAACAGTTTTTTCTGAATTTTTTTTTAAATAGCTGATTAGCGGACTTTTTTATTCTTCTTTCATCGCAATGAAATGATCAATATTTTAAAAAAATATTCCAATGATAAAACATACTTTTCTGAAACTTTATTTTAGGAATATTAGCTGATTTAAAGTAAAATTAATCTGATTTGAAAAAATATTATTTACTTTAAGTTTAAAATAACACAGAAATGGATTTTAAAACAAACAGTAACGGTGATTTTTAACCGACAGAAGCCATTATT